GCCGATATGTACTTGTAATTAACAGGGTTTACTTCTGTATTAGATAAATAGAAAAATGACTTGTCAGTATCAAATGTTTGGATATTTGTTATTACGTACTATTTGTTATTAACAAATTATTCGAGAGATCGGCAGCAGCGTCTATCTTAAAATATCACCAATAGTTTAATTGCAGTTACCAACCTGCCTACTTATGAGGAAAACCTAGGTTCAGTAGTGGACAGATAACGGCTGATAAGATGATGATGATGATATATTCTAAAATACACAAGGTCCTCTAGACAAATGGCAAGCAAATTCGTTGATAATTTCGACATGGCTAGCGAGTCCGTGAGATAGAATCAGATAGCAACGTTGGTTGTCTCCTTCCAGTCAGTCAGTCTAAAAGGCAAGGATACTAAATATTTATGCACGCGGGCAAAACTGCGAGAAATAGCTAGTTATACCCACATTTGAAGCTATAAAATTGGTGACATAACAATGTAGGTTAAGTTTTAACATATGTAAAAGGCATACAAAGTCTACCTTATATTCGACAACAAATCATGCCACAAAATAATGAAAATAAAATGTAACGCTATTCAATACAAAGCTAATGCAAACAGACAGACTAGCTAATGAAAATGAAAACTTAAACAGCAATGGAAAGAAGGCAGTCCGAAGAAATGATTAATTGTGGTACGGAAATTGCGAGGCGCTAGGTGTCGCCAGTCATGCTCATGGCACCAAGTGATACCGTTTTATACCCCTTTGAAAGTAAAATACAATTGTAGATATTGACTAGGTAGGCGTAGGTATTTGTTATTCTCCTGGGATTACAATTTTTAAACGACTTTCAAAAAAGAAAATTGTCAATTTAACAATTATATTATTATATTATTATTACCCTCATATTGATCTGATTTAATTAATGATGATTTAGGCTACTGTTTTTTTTTACGAAGCAAAACCTGTTTATTGCGAGCAAAATTTATTTATAGACGAAATCAATGTATCTACGAAACGTCTCGTCGTTGATCAATACGCCAATATCACATTTTTTTTGGAGAAAAATGTACTTGGAAGTAATTATAACAGAACTGAAAAGAAATGACGATGATGATGTAGATTACATATTCGGTTTGTTGAATTTTTGTATAGTCAAGTAATCTAATACAGGATTGTGAACCTTCCTTATTATTTTCGAAGTGATTTAAAAAAATTAATTAAACATATATAACTTAAAAAAATAAGGTTTTTCCACATTACATAACAAATAACTTCGCACCCTAATAGAGACTGGAGATTTAGCGTCTAAAATTACATTTGTTCTCTTCGGTCATTTTTCATTGGACACATTACATCCTTGGCAGATATCGATGGAGTCATAAATAAGCACAGTCCATAGTTAATCGACAATAAATTTGGCAAGTGAATGCGCCATTTTGTCCAAGTAAAACAAAAAACAAGGATTTGAAATAAACAAAGAAACGATACACCTGATAAAACGTGATAAGCGTCGTATATTTATACATATGATGTTATCACCATGGGCATCATAGTAGCGTCTCTATATCTATTTCACAGGAATACTAACGCATGAGTATTATATGATATTCATAAAGCTACAAGAAAGGATTACTATTTTAAACGACCTTGATATATTTCACGAACATCCTAAGTCATTTAGGAATAAAATACTCCCATAATATTTATCATGAATTCTAATTAATAAAATAACGTGATTATTTTTTTAATTAAACAATAATTAAAAAATAATGACATTATTTTAAAAATTCTATTTTAGTATTCTTATGTTTTACTTGAATTTTTGCATTGTTTTGTTAGTATTAATTTTATAAATGTGAAATCGATAACTTAAGGTAATGTTGTGTGCATCTGTAATTGATTTAAATACAATATTCAACCCCTATATATTAATTAATATTAATGTCTGTATTTAGAGTGTTGATGTACTTTTTAAAATAAATAAAATTAAAATAAATTAGATAAGCTGTTAATTCATATGCTAGCTGTATTAAAAATCGATTTTTCTAATAATTTTCCATGACACTGACATAGACAAAACAAAAATAACATAGACCTTAGCTAACAGAGTAGTAAACACACTGTTAGTTCACTATTAAGCTTATTCCATCTATGGCCTATTAATCACCAATGGACTTGCGATGTCCACAAGATCTTAGGTAATTTATTGCGGAAAACGCGTGCGTTACGCGGCGAGGGCGTACCTTGGGGCGTTCCGGATGCGTATTACGCGCCAGCAGTGGACGGAAGTCGGCAATATATTGTGATCACCAGCCCGTCGCTAGTCGCCCTTGATAGTTCTTAATGATCATAAGGAATATACAGGCTGAAATTAAAATCCTAGCATCCCTTTTAGAGAGTAGTCTACTAATGAAAGCATTTATTTTTCCTAAAGAAACAAAGGTTGAAAATCAACAAAAAATTGAACCTTCTACTAAGTAATCAATACTAACACGATACGTCAAATTTTCATTTTACTCTGTGTACATTTTTTTAGTATCTACTAAAAAAGTGTACACAGAAATCTTTACCAGATCTTTATATATTATCTATTTCCTTCCTGTTCCAGAAAGGCTTTGTGTCAAATTAAAAATACCTACGTACAAAACTTAATTCTTGTTCCGTATAAAAATGCCTCCTTAACATTTTCAACTTTATAAAAAGGCCTATGTTCACCAGTGAATAATTAACGACTACTATAATAATAATAGTATTGCCTGACTTCATGATAACACAAAATGGTTTTTTATTTTTATAAAGTTTTTTAACATTGAAGGTTTTGTCTTAACATATGTAAAAGGCACACAAAATTTATCTTTAATTCGTATAGCAGATAATAAATCATGCCACAAAATAATGACAATAAAACGTACAAAGTTATTGCAATTAATTTGTATTTTATACTTATGTAGTTATTAACTACGTCACACGAATGCATTTTTTCATCGTTTCTAAACAAACGGGGCATAATTCCCTCATCCCCTGTGCTTCTAAACTACACTGTTTACTATACGTAGGATATCATTAGCCGGGGTTAGCGATGGACCACGACATTTATTTTACGGCATCCGGCTATAAAAGTGATCCACTGCCTGCAGTCTGCAGCGTTGCCCAGTGGCCTTCTCAACGATATATAGCATACTAGAAGCGACACTATCATAGTAGTAGGCAACAGTAGTATTTTTCAACACAAAATTATAAAGAAAACAATACAAAAATTTTAAGTTTATTAGTTTAATTACAAGAATTATAAAATAACTTCTAATTTTATGTGTACAAAGTTAAAAATTGATATGCATTAATTAATGTATTATATTAATGAATTTTAAATATATTGATTTTGGGTAGAACAGTTTATTAATTATAGATAACTGTCTGTTCTGTCTGTTTAGCGCAACTAAAATATTATAAATATCTAGAAAATCAAACACTGTAATTCAATTTTTTTCTATTAACATCCTAACTGACTGTGATATAATATATATAGATTATGCTTAATTAATTTATAAATATTAGAGGCACATCTAGTAATAACAAAATATCACTGACCCTCAACCGACTGCCCAGAACCCATGACCCCACGGAAGTGATAAAGCTTTTTGGCTAAAAAAGCATTTGGGTGGCGATGGCGCGGAAGCAAAGTAGAAATTTCTCACTGACGACGAGATAATCTTGAGTTGGTTTAGTGCGGCGTATAGCTGGTTTTGTCCTGCCAAGTGGAACGATAACTTTTTATAGAGCCTATAATAGTGCCCATATAATACACATATACATTACTAGTTTTTCAACCGCGACTTTGTCTGTGTGACCGGGATATATCCTATGCTTTGTGTTTACCAAATTACAGAATAAGATAATTTATATTATTACTATTATTAATAGTAGTCTAGCTCTTATTTCCGATACCATGCATATGCATATACATGCAAACACATCTGTTTGCATGTCTGTGTTCCTGTTTGAAAAGAAAAAGTACTTACGGAGGTATAAACCTTAGTACTTAGGAATGGCAAGCTCTGCTAGACTGACGACTTGTTTATCGAACGCTATGTGTCCGACTCGTGCATCTCTATTCTACTTGTACAGAAAAATGAGAGAATTTTGAACTATGTTTTGTAAATAATATTGTAATATTTTTAATTTGACTTTCTTCAGTACTTATTCAAAAAGTATTTATTTTATAATGCTATAAGTATCGTCATTATAAAAATATTAAGACTAATTTTATTAAACAAGTCTCGTCCTATTGAAAAGAACCAATAATAGTAAGTACACTCAACAATATTAAAATCAATCAACAAATTAAATTGGTCGGTGTCTAGGCCGAAACTACATTGACAAATGAACGTTGGGTAAAAAGGAAATGAATCTGATTCACAGGAAATAGGTCTGATTCAATTGGTCCATTGTTGCCGGTGACCCGTCACGGTCAGTTTTATGCTTGTAGTGCATTTGTTTACTGGAATTAAGCTCTAACTGTATATGATGATTAATATATATGTAATTATTAATAATATGTAAGGATTTGATAGAAATCGCTACAGCTATAAGCAAATTTAGTTCATGATACTGATATCAGTACTATGTATATTATATTATTAGCCTTATTATAAAACATCGACTTTTGTAAACTATTATTAAATATTTGAAAAAATTGTAAACATTTTGCGTTTCACTATTACGCTTAATACAGCGGTTACTTAATGAAATCAAAAATCTTACATACTAGTAAATTCTTTGATACTGCGTCAGCATCATTTTCCTACAATTATCTGAACTATTATATGGGTTCGGCGTAATATGTTCTTTGACACTGCGTACCATTACAAAATATAATAATTATCACTAAAGTGTATAGTGTATGTGTGCATGTGCGTGTGCGTGTATTACAGGTGTTATACCTGCTTCAGTTTTGTAGCAGAATTGTAGTGGATTCCCTAAAATTTTTAATAAAACTATGTAGATATACTTACTGGATCGTGGTGTATTAAAAATAATTAAATCGAAATCTGAAAAAAAGAAAACGCATATTATTAGCTATATATGACAATAATTAAATATCCATTAACTGTTTGACTTTCGCGTTGCATTGTTTATGTTAAGAGACGGGAATGAATGTTTTTCATAAAAACATTCATTTCTGTCTCTTATAAACTTCATTCGAACGACTTCATTGTAGCAAAACTAGTTATTTTGATTTATAAATTAAACTACAGAACCGATTTTGATAAAATTTTATTGAGACCAATCTATAAATATATCCTTTTCATTAAAACTTAGAACTTTCGAAATAGGTTTACAAATGACAGAATTATGAGGTAACATATAAAAAAAATCGATTCGAGAACATCCTTCTTTTTGAAGTCGGTTGAGTCATCACCCATTTCTATATTGGACAACCAATATTTAGTCTCTTCTTTATTTAATATATACATTGTAACTATAACATATACATTTTTTTATAATAAAAAGTGCCAAAGTGCTAATGGGCCTGGTTTTCCAACTAGGGCACCTGTGATATAAAGAACCAGGGAATAAGTACAAGTACAAGTCTGCGACATAACATAGAACACCCAGAACCCAGCCAATTCAGAAAAGTTTATTTTTTAAATTGGCTCCACCAAAAATCGAACCCTACCCTATTGGTAGATATATATTAACGATCCCTACTTGAAACTATCATCCGGTAAGCAACGTCAAAGGTTTTCATGTATAACGATGACAGCATATAAACTTTTGACCACTCGAGAGTGACATCCTTACGCGAATAGTAGTAGTAGATTGTACTAACACAATACTCCTAACTACTTTTGGTTGACTGGTAGAAAATTCTACTAGCATTAAGTCCGTCTTTTGTACCATATTTTCTTTTAGTCAATAAATAAAATATATTCAGTTTCATAATCTATGTATATATTGGATATTTATCCTACAAAAATAATTATACATACCATATATAAATAAATATACAGTATAAGATATGCACATACCTATTATCAAGAAGTCCTGTTGATATAGATAAAGGTCGTTATTTTTTTCGAAAAATGTAATTTATTTTTTTAATTTTTGGTACCTGCCTAATATAAAAAAATTCTAGGAAAAAAATTTTTTAAACCCAATGAATACTAACACAAATTTTATGAAATGATATTTCCAAAATGATATTAATTAACATACTGTATATATGTACATATATCAAATAATGATATTTCCAAATTAATACCTATATGGGCGTATGAAGGAAGTCTGTTTTTGTATAACTACCAAATTACGATCAAACAAATATTTTCGCCGAAAATTAATTAAGGACCGTCATACCGGCTCCCCCTATTAGAAAATGATTTAGTCCGGGAGTCCATCGAACCCCACTTTCTCTGCAATTAGTTGCGCTCGGAACAATGTGCAGTGATTTTTAAATGATTGCCCCCAGCGCCATCTGGCGTACCCGGTCAATGCTCCACTAGTAATATCGGTAATTGCTTCTTTTTCGTATCATTCCAGATTTATAAAATAAAATGTGTATTTTTTTATTTAAAAGATGGGAAATATATTAATATAAATTATTTATAAATATTTATTTCACAAACTTCAGAGCTAAGGGATAAGTATGAATTTTATCACATTTTCAATCATAAGTAAAAAGTATGTAATACATAAAATAAATAAAAATCCTTTTTAAAATGTACAAATTATAATTTTCATATTATGAAATAAACCACTTTGACTAATAGGCCAATTTTGATAATTTAACTCCTTCTTGATCAATACAATAGCATTAGTACTTGCTGAGACATACCGTTATAACAGATGGACGAGCAAAATATAAAAAAGTACCATAAAAGTAAAAAAGAACCCTAAAAATGGTTCGAATACTAATAATATCTATTTTAAAAAATCAGATTCTCTACGGCATAAAAATATCCATATAACCAACTTTAGTAGGTAAATTAAAACCTCCAAGCACTCAGAGTAATTTGCCAGCATTTCGCACGCCTCGCAGTTCATTGGCATCGAGAAATTAATATTTCGCGCCAATATCAAAAGTTTACGCTCAACTAGCCACCCCGGGCAATAACTACACTACGGATTGTCGCAGGTGAAATGCGCTTATAGGAGTTATTTATTTTTTACCTTCTATTACGTAGATCAAACGTTGTCGTGACGACCGGCCGAGGGGTTACAGGGAATTATTCACGTGCCATAAAGCCCAAATTATCTAAGCCTACTTATAATATATACCTACCTACTTAAATAGAAAAGCTGTCTCTATTGAGTATTAAGATTCTACTTTCATATTATATCACTTTATTTTCTTACAAGGTAACATAAATAGGTAGATAGGAAAAACATATTATTTAATGTAAAATAAAATTTGATAATAAATTTTCTCGTTTTTCACTCTAATTGCGTAATATAAATGATAAATAATAAACCTTAAGCAGATATATATCTTATCATTACTTTAATTATTAACATTTAGAGATATGTATATCCCTTTACTTATTCATTTATATTAATATTTATCAATACAATTTGTAAAGATGTTTGACTGTTTAATTACCTACTCAGCACGCTTACACAGGTAAACATTTTTTATTAAAATTTGGCACACAGATGGATTGTGTTTATCCTAGTATAAAGAAAACGAGGATAAAAAAGTACATATATCTTTTGCTTGACCAGGAAACTAAATACAAATCCTAAAATTACTCAAATAGGTAAATAAAATCTGTTATGCCATAAAATAGTTAAACTTGCTAGACAATTTTTAATACATATTTAGACACATTACTACAGAATCGTGTCTAACAACTGTTTATGTTTAAAGAAAAGAAAACATACTTGTATGTTATTAAAAATAAAAGATGATAAAAGGTAATACATTTTATTGTAATATATTTATAGTTTTTAGCATATACATTATTACACTGTTATTATGTAAGCAATTAGATAGATTATTGTTAAGTATTGTTTAGATAAGCTAAGCTAATCTAGAGCTAAGTGCTTATGATAACTATCTATGCACCTACTATTATACTGATAGTGTACACAGGTTACATTACAATTCAATAATATACAAAATTAGCAATCAAAACACGGCATACATTAAGCCTTTAAAGGCAAAATGTTTTCCGGGAAACAATTAAATCGACTTCACTAATCAAACAGCGTCATCCGGGTTCGACTGGCGCACCACGCGGCTCCGTTCGAGCACCTATTAAATTCTGAATGCGAGGTTAATCCGCAATTACCGCCTAGTTATCGCCGGAAGACGGCGGAGATAGTTAGGGCGCGGAAAATATTCCGTTCACTAATTATTCCGCGTAATTAAACGGCAGTATTATCGCGCGACGCCGCCGCCACCTGCCGGCATTGTGCGAACGTGATTTACTGCGATCCCGCCGCGATTCCGTTGCGATTCCATTGCGGATCCCCGGCTCTTTTTGCACTAATTAATTATCGAATTGCTGGTATTTAATAATTCCCGTGAAATGTGAAAACCATCGATGAATTACCACTGCGGTCTACGGAGTGGAATAATTGTTGCAATTTGGGAATAGTTTCGCGGATATTATTAGATTTTGCCCCGATATTTGCTTCAATGGCATCTATGGGAACTCAATAAATTTTATAATAAATACGTGGGTACAATTATTAACGTGTAGATTTTAGAGAATCACTGAAATAAGAAAAATAAAAATTAGTAGATACATACATAAGTAAAACTTTACTTCTGAGCATTATTATTAACAATGTGGTTTTCAATAGTATTAGTTTGTTTAATTTTCTTTAATTTTAGTATTGTCTAATTTTGTGTTTCGTTTACTTGTATTTTATTTTGTGCAAATTCTAGCGGCTACTAAATTAATATTTAAGTATATAATTATGTATTATTTTAGCTGTTTGTTTGCCTTAAATAAATAAATAAATAAAATAATAAAGTAATTTATTATTATATCAACCGTTACTTACAAAACATAAGCCTTCGCCATAAGGAGAATTTTGCTAGTAGTTGCCACGTTTGGCAGGATTGGTAACCGCAATTAGGTTTCGATGATGTTTTAAGAGGAATGCCGCTGCCCATAACTCGACCATTAAGTTCCCTTAGTGACGACACCCATGGTAATTGACACATGACAAGAACGTCATTGTTTGTTTACCACTTATAAAAATAAAAAGCTAATAAATTAATGGTAATAATATACAATTTAAAATTGTGTCTTTTTAATTTACGTATGTAAAAATAATTCTAAATTATTTCAACAGTATTATACAGATGATAACAACATATTATTTTGGTAAAACGCTGCTCGCTGCCTGTAAAGAAATATGTATAGAAAAATCGTGTTATGCCTGTAAAAATATTATAATAACATAATCATATATTTTTGAATAACTATAAAAAAATTCTTTTCGTAAGAATGATATATTTAATCTCTATGTAGAAATTAGAAGAGCAAAATATTACTATGCTGCATTGTTTCCATTTAAAGATAAAGAAAATGGAATCTAGTGCAGTGTGTAGGTATAAAAAATTAGCATTAATAAATTTGATATTGTAGCAATGATTATTTTGTAAAGACATTTGGATGTTAGCTCGACGAATTTGTTCAACAGATATACAGATAGATTGTATAACCTAATTAAATAAATAATTTTGTCGTATTTCATGCAAACAAATCCACGGGCTACAGCTAGAAAACCATATATAAAAAATAAAAATTCTCAAAACGACACCATTAATTCTTCAAAAAGATGTAATCAAGTATGCTGAAAAAATCACAAACGCAACCTCTAATTTCATCCCAAACCGAATTCTCAGAGGAAATTGCTGTACATATTTCGCGGCAAGCAAACGAGAAACGAAATATCTGTGGAGAGATGAAAAAATAATACCCACAACAATATGGGGCTGTGTTATCACGAACGGAGCCTGGGTCCACTCTTATTACGGTCTCTAATTTGCTCCCGGTTTCCTCTTATTTTCCATTGCCTCCCATCCGCATTA